GTAAATCGGGGGGCGTCACCAAGGGAGAGCGTGGCTGCGCCCAGCCGGTGTGGGAAGCACAGAGCAGAGCGGAGGATGAACTTGATTGGAAGCCACGGTTCTCAGGCCGGCTCCCGGCTTCTCAATTAGCTCAGTGGCTCAGGGGCTCCAGGCGAGTTGCTTAATTTCCACCTGCTCCTCAGTCTCCTCACCTGAAAATGGGGCACCCATCCCATGGGACCGCTGTGAGAACTGACGGAGTCAAAACACATCTGGAAGAGTCCAGGAACACTGCCTAACACAGAGTAAGCTCTTCACACGTTTGCTAGGATCACTATCCGGAGAGCTTCAAGATTTGAAACAAAAGAGAAAAAGGACCCACTCTCAGATGGGGATGGCGTACAACCTGTGTTTGATGAATTCTGAAGGCTACTTGGAGCCTGAGGCGTGGCAGACTGCAGACAGCCGGGGGAAATAATAACGCCCCTAACAGCTCCCAGGGTGCCCCCTGCAGCGGGTAATCTAAAAATCGCAGGCTTGTGAATGCCTCTCGCACAAAAGCAGGATGTACACAGGGACAAAAGATAACGAGCTTGCCGGGGTCTCCAGGACGGCAGGCCAGCATTGAGCGGCGAGCGTAACGGGCGCTGCATCCCAGATTGCAGTCTTGACAGCTTCAATTCACTTATTCACGCACGCTTACTAAAGGTCACTGTCCTATCGCTGGTGATTTTCACCCTCTGGGAGCTTATAGTCAAAATAATGTCGACTAGAAGACGTATTTGCATCCTTTAAAAAAGGCAGTCCATCAGTCAGGAGCATTTAATAAGTGGCCTCTGTTTGCCACGCGTTTTACCAGATGCCTCAAGATGTTACACAGGCGAAGAGCATTTGCTTCTACGTTTGGAACAAAGGAGGATCAGCATCAGAGAGTGAGACCGTCAGGGGATCGCGGCGTGACAAATATAGTTTTATAAACACACATAAAATCACGCACTGAATCCTGTTTCGTCAGAATTCAATGCTGACAAATTTCCATTCTTACATTTTCCGTGCTATCACTGACCTATGTATGAATTTAAGGACACCACAATGACAACGTCAATAGTTACCACAATTTCAGGAAGGTATTACTACCCAAATGTATTCTGAGCACTCTGGAAGCACAGGGTGTCTTAGTTCCTGTTTTTTTTTTTTTTTTAATAGGAAAAAATACATCTGTTAATAAAAAAATTAGTTGACCTGCATATAAGCATATCATCATGCACCCACAATTAAAAGGATGAATTATTACCTATGTTTCCAATGCTTCTTGTAAAAAAAAAGAAAAGTATTATGGGAATTGTGTCTTTGAAAGAATTGTGATGAATCTAAACGCACATGAAAGACACTGACAACATTCTGTGACCGGGGAAAGGAAGGTTCTCTGTGATAATCATCGGGGTATGGCAAGAAGGGAGTCATGGATGTAAATCCAGGTGGACAGAAATTAATTACACCTCCCCCCACCAAAATGTCGGATAACATAAAGACAGAATCTATAACCAATATGTAACATGACAGAAACCAAAACCAGTACAAGAAAAATTACCTACATCTTTCTTCCTAGCCTAGGACTCTGATTTCACTGATATTCCATCAGAGAATTAGGGAAAAGAAGGTTTTTGTTTTGTTCGGTTTTCTCAGTGAGTGGCCTAGAGTCTTAAGAATTTTTGTATAATCTCGGTAGCTCCACAGGAAAAAAAAAAATCCCTCAGCAACTAATGAACACTGCTATTTGTTCTCTTATAATTCTGATTTACACCAAGTCCAATACGACTGTGCTGATTCTGGTGTTCTACTAAAGGTAAAAAATAAAATTACTTTTAGGCCATTTGCAAAATTCTATACCTTTCAATAGATTAAACCTGGCATTATTACAGCCCAAGATGTGCTTTTCATTTTCGAATGAGTAATGTAGCTCCCCTCCCTCCCCACTGCCCCTCACTTCTTTTCTTGCTTCTTTGCTTTTCTCCTTTCTTCCCTAAAGAAGACACACCTCTTTAAAGCATGGAAACATTATTGAGACTTTGGCCATCACCGCTGCTCAGGTGGGGCTGCAATTGTACATCATTAAAGCACCTGCCATTGTAGGGGGCGGGGAGGGGTCACACGTTCCCAGACAAGGGCAGCCGTCAACCCCCCCCCCCACCTCCCCCGGAACACTGACAAGGAAGTCCTGCTGTGAGGTGCTTCAGGAACAATCAGTCCCTGCCTGAGCATAGGAGAAACCCAGGGCTTCCGTCTAGAAAGCTCCCTTATCCTGGTTGGAATGATGTCCTGATTTTCTTTACACAAAGAATATGTGTCGGGGCGCCTGGGTGGCTCAGTCGTTGGGCGTCTGCCTTCGGCTCAGGTCATGATCCCAGGGTCCTGGGATGGGGGCTGGGCTCCCTGCTCCGTGGGAGGCCTGCTTCTCCCTCTCCCACTCCCCCTGCTTGTGTTCCCTCTCTCACTGTGTCTCTCCCTGTCAAATAAATAAATAACATCTTTAAAAAAACCCAAAAAACGAAAAACAAAAAACAAAGAATATGTGCCTTCTTGGGAGATGCCGCGAAAAGAGGTATGCTTTCAAAGCACCTCAGTCTCGTGGCTCCCCCAGATCATCTCAACAGAGAGGAAGAGAGAAGTTGGCAGATCTCAGCACATGAATAGCAAACAACAAATTAATAACTATGTACTTTAATCTTCAGCATTCATAATTGCACAAAGTACCACTGATCACTTAAATAATACATGTCAGTTAATCCAATGAAGAAACTAGCAAAGTAGAATGTTCGAAGCAATAACTCGAGCATGTTAAAACCTGTCTGCGAGTGGACATTTAACACACAAAGAGCAGAATCAGAACAGGTCTTTGAGGAGCAGTGATTTAAAATCCTTACCAACAGGCAAAGCACTATGGAGAAACACACATAAATGTATTCAACCTGCCAGATGTCTCAGCTAAATGCACAGCGATTCTAACAGGTTTGGCTACAGTGACTTTCCATATATATATATGTGTATATATATATACAGTAGGTTCTAACACTCTAGGAGTGTTTGGTGATCAGAATGCAGAGTAGGAACAAAGGGGGACTACCATTACTTTCAAAGTAGAATTGAGTGGGGAAATCGAAACTCCTGACTAGTCAACTTTAAAATGGCATAAACAGAACTTTGTTACAGAGAGAGATTTTTTTTTTCCTTTGGAAATGTATATGTGTCCTAAATGGCCGAAAATCTTGTCCATGCTAGGGGAAAGTTGAGTGTGGAAAAATTTGCATTTTTTAAAATCTATGCCGTAAAGAAAATAAAAAGCCAGAGCATTCTGGCATTAGCAAAAGGCTGAACTAAGTTCTCAGGCAATAAATTTATGGGGAAACATGACAGGCTCCTCATTAAAGCTATGTGTACGTTGGCTGCATTTTATACAAGATTCTTGAATCTTGTGGAAAATTGGGCACGGCTTGACATCTGAACAATGTCCCTGGTTTGTTTGATTTCTAAAGCATCGGAATATGTTGCACTTTGGAAATCAAGTAGAGAAGAATAAACACACTAAAACAGAACTGGGCTGAATCTGAAAATTATTTTTCCATATGTCTCTATGAAATATTTATTACCTTTATTTCTCTTACAAACACAGCCGCCCCCCGCCCCCCCCCCCCCCCCGCTAGAAATACTGCCGTACTTTTTCTTTTCTTTCTTTTTTTTTTTGGTGGTGAGAAAATAGTCCTGGTAAGGCAAATCTTACCCGGCAGCAGGAACCACCTAAGGATAGGCAATTTTTCAGTTGGCTTTTCAGAAGCTGGTTGCCATGACAAAGAGCACAATTTATTCCTTGGTCCCTTATCACAGCTACAGATCACAGACCATAAAAATTAACAAGGCTCTCTCCCTTTGCCTGATGATTTCGGAGTCCCTCATCCTTACCTGAGGTCTTTTGTTCCCCCAATTAAATGGAATGAATGTCAGTCACCTAGCAATTCAATTAATGCTGATTCAAAATTCTGGCCCAAACCAGAATCTATAATCACAACCTCCTAATCACAGCTCAGTCATGAGAATGAAAAGTAAGCAGGAAATTGCACTAATTACTCAATTAGACTAATACTGTATTTTTAAGCTAGGGCTTAAAGGGGCTGTCAGCCCTGACAAAGGACAGCGGAGCTGTCCTCACCTTGTGTGCCTGAGGTTGCCCAATTGAAGCTGCTTTTTCAAGTGGCCATAATTTCTATCCATCGAAGATGGACTGGCCCGAGCTGGGGAGTGGAAACTTACGAAGGAGAAACCGACCACCAATGAGGGGCAGGTCGGGGTGGGCAGGGAGGTGTGTCAGTGGCCCTTAACACAGGCCCCGGAGTGAAGGCAGCTGAGTGCACATCGTCACGGGGCTGGTTCCAGGAAAACATCCGGTGAGGAGGAACACTCAGGGAGCGCGAGGGTGGCTCTACCAAACCTTAAAACTGAGCACAGCTCCAGGTGCCAGCCTCCCAACTCACGACAGAGCCTGCGGCTGGCGCTGGGCAGACAGCTCCTCAGCCAGTGGGCCCACGCCTGGGGGTGGCTGAGAGGTAAGAAGCATCCACCCCCCCCACTCCCTGGACGGCTGCTGCAAAGCCCACCTGGAGAACCTTAATGAAATCAAGACCAGTGAGTGAAAAAGAAGTGGCTGGGAAGAACATACCAGATGGGGCTGAAGAATTTACAAAACGATGCAGGATATGACCCAATACAAGCTGGACCTTATTTGAAAGAAAAAGGGGCCTAAAAAATTAGACTCTTTTTTCCTACTCAGTTTCAGAAACTGAAATATTCTGTAAACAATAGGGAGGACACTAGAGCCTGTCATGCCTCTGGTTTTTGTAAAACTCCCTCCGAGCTGGATGCAGGCGAGGAGCTGGCCCCGGGCAGAGGGCAGAGGGCCTGTCACACATGGCAGGGTCTTTCCTCTGCGGCAGTTTCTGAAAATGACCAACTTGGGAACTGCTCAGGGGTTCCGAAAGGAGAAGAAGTATTTATTTGACTAAGACGGGCAAAGTTTTTACTTCCAGGGCTTGCCTTGCAGGTGGCCGCTGCTGAGTGAGCGGGGGTTTGGGGGGCCAGCAGGGCCCCCGGTGGGCAGGTTCTGACTGCTGCGGGCGCCTGGAACCTTGGAGTCTCTTCCAGCGGCGTTCACTTGGCTCAGCCGGCCTGAAGGGAGCAAGAAAGCAGGGAGCAGAGCTGCAAGAATGACTCTGGGCACAATCTGCCAAGTATACTTTTAAGTTAATGAAGTCTTAGGGTACAACCACTTTTAAGCTAATGAAGTCCTATTCAGTGTCTACTTTAGGCTAAAACCTACTCTTCATCCTTGAGATCAACTTGAAGATGGGGAAGGGGCAGGGACGAAAGGAAGCCCAGTGACCTTTTTTTGTTTTCTTCCTCTCCATTATCCCCAACCAACCTAGCCTGGCCTTCATTCCTTCTTGGTAGAAATGGGTACAGGAGGGATTAGGGGAAAGAGAAGAGAAAGTAGTGTGCTCAAGGGAAGGTTGGGCAGGGTTTCGAGGTGCCCAGAAGCCAGAGAGGGAAACAAAACCCATCAGAGAGGGAATCCTAGTGCCCAAGCTGAGCCCCTCCACTCTGCCTGAAATACATATGTTATCTGACTCATAAATCCTTTCTCCTTCTCTGTCTATATGCAACGTCTAATTCTCCCCACAACCTGGGATCACTACCCCTTGCCTCCACCCCTCCCCCTACAGCACCCTTACACTCCCCATCCCCTACAGATATTTTAAGACTCGAATATGAGATCAAACTTTTCATACGATGAGGTCATTTTCAAAGCTCTACAGAAAACGTGATCTCTAAAGGTCAAAATATCTTACTGGGATTGTCCGCAGGACCCTGATCCTCTTCCAGGTAATATTCTATCTTTTTTAAATCTTCTGGGGTAAATCTCCATTTATTCTCAGCTGGTGGGGGCGGCACTTTGGGGCTGGATCGTTTCCGGGCAGAGCCAGGAGGAAGGGCCTGCTGGCAAGAGGCTGGCAGGGAACCGGTAATCAGTCCTTCTGGGAATTTCTGAGCTAAGACTTTTAGACCTAGGTGTGGAAGAGCATCAGAAAAAGCAGCGTTAACATGGTGAGGCGAAGGCAAGACCTGGAAAGGTGGCTGCATGTCTCCTAATCTTTGGCCTTCCGGTCCGAGCCAACACAAGGACGTGACATCTTAATTGCTTCACCATGAAGCAAATTACACCAGAAAATGTCGGTGGTTAGGCGGGATTCTGAGAATTCCACCAGAAATCCTTTTGCTCCAGTCTTCAGCAGTAAGGCTTTCTCACAGAGCCTGAAAGCAACAGCGTTATTTCAGGAATTAAAAACATGTGCTGATGGAGCTAACGGAAGTTTCACAGAACTCCTGACCCCTTGCAGCCAGCACGGTTCTCTCTCCTTCCAGGATTCTAAATTCTGAACGTGGACAGGAAAAGGGTGATAGGGGAGGGGTTGAAGGGTTGGGAGTCCAGATACCTGTGTTTTCAGTCCCAAGCAGAGTACAGCCCACTCACCTCCGGAAAGCATGAAGAGGTTTTCAAACCCCCGCTCGCACATGGTGGTGGCCGCCTGGCTGGCCAGCCTCTCGTCATCGTCGTACAGAATGATGACCTTGCCGTGGGCATTTTTCTAAGAGTCACAGGAGTTAAGGTTTGCCCGCACTGGAACTACTGAGAAACTCCCAGGGAACAAGGAACGGTCTAGGTTCACCTTCCTGAGCTGGTATTCTTTTTTTTATAAATGGATTATCACTGTGGTCCAAGATTATCACTACTAGCTCCACACCTTATACCCTTTAGCTCTTTTATCCTCACGGCCCTGAAAGGTCTGACAATCTCCATTTCACAGGTGAGGACATAGAAAACCTCTCTGTCCTATGTGTCCACTGCAGCCTTATTTATGATAGTAAAAAAAAGGAGACCCACCTAAAGGCCCATTTGAGAGAAAGAGTTTTTAAAAAAGTAAATCATAGTATAGTATATAGTAAGATGAGGTAAGTACTGCATCAAAAATGGAGTTTACAGGGGCACCTGGGTGGCTCAGTCGTTAAGCGTCTGCCTTCGGCTCAGGTCATGATCCCAGGGTCCTGGGATCGAGTCCCACATCGGGCTCC